ATCACGTTAACCTTCAGGATGTTGTGTCGTTATTTCTATCACAGGGTGTTTCCGCAATTGAAGGCTTGTTGTGTCCGCAAAGTTTTGTATTATTTAGAAAATTAGGGCGATTTATCTATTGCTGTTGGTCCTCCGGTGCCTCTCCATCTCCTGGGAGCTGGTAGGTAACATCGAGACCGTGGAGGAGTGTATCTGGGGTCTCAGGCCCCTCCTCCACAGCCTCGCTCCCAGCATCCAAGCCGGGAACTATCCCAGCTCGGAGCTGGGCAAGCTCTGACCTCATGGCGCTAGAGAATACATTAGCTTTATATTGCATATACTTCATTGTCGGGAGAGACTTACTACACCTGACTTGCGAGATCCTGGACTCGCCGCGTTAGGGCCTTGATTATTCCATTCTGTTCTTGGATGATGTATAGAAGCTGGGCAATTAATCAGTGGTCAAATCTTTCCAAGTTTAATAAGTACTCACCATTCGTACCATGCCAATCAGCATGGAAATATTCATTTCCATCATGTTTTGTTGGTCCATCGTGGCCTTGTTCTCCCTCTGGAGCTTTGCAAGATGTGAGTTTGTTGTGGAGGACAAACTCAGATAGGGAGGAAGCCTTGGGGTTTATGTATTTCGTAACCCAAATGCTTCTCTGTAACTCCACTGGTACGTCAATAGAGTATGTTGAATCATTGTTGTTGAGTCTGCCACTTCTGACAGTCTTTAGCACTGTCAGCCCATCCTCGACAAGCACCAACGCTGCGTCCCATATAATTTTCAACAGTTCTTTTGAACTTACATATAACTCTGTTTTTTCTACCAGTGTCAATTAAAGTAATGTTTATTTGCTGTAATGTGTTTCTGTAATAAATATTTCTAAGACCAAGATGATCTCAAGCAGACGACAGGGAAGATAGGTATTTCGACATGAGTTCGACTGGTAAATTTCAATAGGCCAGGGACATAGACTGCATCATCTTGTCTCAGTAGTATATACTGCGCTCTCCAATCTTGCAAGTCAGCCAGATTCCGAAGCATTGTATATTCTTTAGACTCCTGTAGTGCTGTCGACAGATTCATGTATATAAAAGGGGTTAGCTATTTATGTGTACTGAGAGGGTTTATTTCTTACCTTTTAGTGTTAGAAGATCTTACCAGGTTATCTTATGATGCCTTCTAGCTGCTTGTTGCTTCTTGTCAAGCTGTTTCGTCAGCCATGATCTAAAGGCCTTGCCATAAGTACCAATGTGAGTACTTGAAAGACATCAACTTACAAATTCCTCATTCAAGTGTATTGGGCTGTACACTATAGAAGCTGGACTTGACTTGAAAGCCAACTTGGAACAAAAGACAATATACTTAGTTGCGGCATGCTCGAATCTGAGCTTTTGTGTTGCCCCTGAGTCAACAATGATCTGGTTGGGAGATACCAGGTCCCTATGTGAGTCTAGGTCTCCAAACGCGTTGCAGAAGCAAATATGACCAGAATGTAAAGATGCAGGTTGGAGTGGTCGATTGAGAAGGGGGAGGACTGAGCTTCTTATACTTGTTCCTGGCTTACATAAACTGATGCCTGAAAGTCAGAGGTAGCAAAGAAATAAACATTTGTGTTTCGACAGTTGGAGGTGTTTCCTTTCAATTGTTGCCAAACCCAATATGTTATACACTTCTTCCAAATACTGTTGGGCTCGTTCCTGTTATCAATCAGGCAAAGTCAATTGTGCACCACCTGCAAGCAGATTGAGTTTTCACTTGACTTGGTCCAGTCACAAATTTAGTAACAAGCTTTTGCAAGGAAACTCTGCTGATATATATATAAATATAAAGCAAAACAAGTGGTGTTTGTCCTTTACATGCTCACCTCATTCATGAAGCGGGTCTGTACATGCAAGTAAATGCAAGTAAACACAATGACGTTAGCGGGGTAAAGTACCTCGGCCTGCGACACCAACATCAACATCACGACATTCTTGCTTGGGCCTTTTAAGCCTTGGATCGCTCACTTCTTTTCGCCAAATTTCGGCTTTACAAGCACAAATAGAATCATTGAGCCAGATACAACTGTCTGAAGTGAAATTTACCATGGCCCCATCACTTCTTCTCTTACCATCTCCTCCCCGCCCTCCCTCCGCATCAACACTCTCAGCTGCCTATCGCTCACCATTAACATCCGTCCTCACCAAACTTAAACAGTCACCAACTCCCCAAACACTCATAGTTGGCCTCGCACTGCCTCTTCTCAGCGGCTCTTCTCCCAACTCAAAGAGGATCGCCTGGACAAATGCTCAATATCTCCTTGCTGGCCTTTACACTCTTACATCCGTCATCTGCGCCAAGGAGAACATTCCCGTTGACGTCGGTGCTGGAAAGGGGAGTGTGGATGTGCGCATTGTTCTGATCGACCATGAGAAGGGAAGACGCTACGAACAAGACTTTGATGGAGGGTTCGAGGCGAATTGTACGGCTGTGTTGGACTTGGCTGCGTTTGCGACAAAGGTTCGACCATGGGAAGCGGTTTACCATCCCAGTTGTGAAGAGGGTTATGAGTTGCTCTCCTCGTTTCTCAAACTCGCAGAGAAGAAGCAAACCTTTACTCTGAACCAACTTGTGGCTATCGAAGGTGGAATCAGTTTGACGGCGGAATCGAGTTCGTCGCCGAAAGAGCAACAAAAGGGCTTCAACACGGTTTGTCTAGGCGGCACGTTTGATCATCTTCACCCAGGTCACAAATTATTGCTTCACGCAAGCGTCCTCCTTCTCAACATACCGCCAAAAGACTCTGACAAGACATGCACTCTCGTTGTGGGTATATCGAGTGACGAGCTTCTCGTAAAGAAGAAGTACGCTGAAGAGCTTCAATCATGGGATGAACGCTCACAGACTGTTCTCTCATTCCTCTCCACGCTTCTCGATTACGACACAGTATCTACATCTCCACCAACAGAACGAACTCCTGATGAAGCAATTGCCACTCTACGCGACGGAAGAGTCAAGGTGCGATGCATTATACTTCGCGATCCATTTGGTCCACCAATTCACGAAGAAGATGCAGACGCAATTGTTGTTTCTGCAGAGACACGTAGTGGAGGCAAAGCAATCAATGATCGTAGGGTTGAGAAGGGATGGAGGCCACTCGAAGTGTTTGAGATTGATGTTCTGGATGCTGACGAGGTTGGTGATGGCGAAGTGAGCAAAACGGATGATTTTGCGACGAAGATTAGTAGCACTGCGATTAGACAACAGAGGGCTGAAGCAAAGAGACGGTGATATCAGGACGAACCATCAGGAAGTAATTATGAAAACCCGAAACAATACGTTTGCTTGCATTACGTATCAAATTTGATGCCTTCGGGGATACCCTTTTTGGTGGTGAATGAATTGGTGTAAGTGTTTTGCGTCGGAGCCTTTACTGTGGTCTGTAGGGCCAGACAATCGCCACAATGGTATCAGCAAGCAACAACACCGCATGAGTCATATAACTCAAAGCATCAGATAGAAGACAAGGTTGTTGATAGAAACCACAACATGTTTGGCAGATTGTAGTCATCACGAGATATGTCTACCATGTTCCAGCAGGCACCAGATGTACCGTGCAGACAGACAGTGCTAACAAGCGCAAACACTATGCGCTGATATCATGCTTCGTTTCTTTTTGTGGCTGCCCCTCCATCATCATTGCCCCACGTTCAAGTTTTTGCCCAACTTTACCTCCAACTTCAAACCCATACACAACCAGCAAGCGAATCCTGACGAACAAGCACACACTTCACCATGGATCCCCTCGACAACATGGCCGGCGCCCCCGTGCCTAAGAACTTCGACGCCGAGAACGCCCAGAACAACGAAGATGTACGCACCCTACCCCACGATCTGAAACGACCCTCCGAAAACTAACAACCTTCCCAGATCGAGAAGCAATTCGCCGTCAAAGTCGTCCAGCACATGCAGACCTACTGGTCCATCCTCGAGCGCGTCAAGGGCTCATCTCTCCGCCTGACAAAGATCGACGACGAGATCATGGAGCACCTCAAGACCGATTTCCCCGAGTTCGACCCCGCTGCCAAGGTCGACGAGGACGAAATGAAGAGCAAGGCCGGCAAGGAGCGCTGGCGAAAGTTCATGATGGCGTATGAGAAGAAGGTTGACGATTATAACTTTGGTACCATGGTACGCGATAGACCCGATGTTGAGTATGAGGAGGATACCACGATTTTTGTGCCTCGTATGCAGTTTTACGCTCTTGAGATTGCACGGTAGGTTACCAATGTGCTACGATGACAGGATTGAGGCTAATGATGTGTAGAAACCGTGCTGGTTTGAATGACTGGATCTACGAGCAGGCTCAGGCTCAGAAGAACAAGTCCAAGTAATCAAAGACATAAAAACGAAGAATAAACAACAGCAGCTCTCCGAAGTGAGCCATGCGTACGTCCACGGCGTCGGGCCTCGAGCCCACAAGAACCCTTGCAGGACAGGGAACAGCCTGAGTGGACTTTCTGGGCGAGGGCGATGCAAGACGCCAATGATCTATGCAAATCATGATCACCAACATACGATCCGAGAATCGAATCCGATGGTTTTTCGTATACTGGAATATTCCTTGATACCCTTAGAAATACATGGCATCAAAGTTTGGCTCCATCTTGATTTTCTCCAAGTGCTCACCTTAGGGTAAGCAACTTGGAATTGAAATGTTGAAAATTTGCATCTGAATGGCCTAGAATATGATTATGAAGTGAATTAAAATCGATTTTTATAAAGTCTTCAATGTTTGGCTGTCATTTAACTGCGTTAAAAGCGAGGTAGAGTTATTGGGATCCTCAGAATATGCAAGACTCAGTATTTTCACAATACATTAACCATAAATCAAACACTCCGCTTTCATACCATTATTCCACAATTTAAGCATTGTTTAGTCATGTATCATTATATCAAAGCCGGAACTTCTGATCTGAACATTGAAATTGACTGTAACAAGGATCATCTCATTTCCATTGTCAAGGCAGCATTACACCTTGAGAAACTCATCAATGTCCACCCTCTGAAAGTAGTTTATGTGTCCAAACCCAACCCAGTGCTGCGCAAGCCGATCGTGACTGACAAAGATAAGCTGGCTCTCAATGTACCGGTCTGCTTTCGTCAGTTCAAGTTCACTTCGAGGCCTGAACCAAGTGAGACAAGGGACTCATTTATGAATTCTTACCTGAGGCGAATCCTGTGTTTGCAATATGCCCTTTGCTGTGTACCGCTCTCATTCCCTGGAAGCAAGGATCTACCGGTGGACCGTCTACGACTCCATCAGGCCCAATATCATCAGCTACAAAGGTGATTTCACCCCGCGGAACGTTGGGATCACCAGTTAATTTGATAGCCTCCAGTCGTCCCTGAAACGTCCGCCCTTCAGTCCGTCTCGCTTGCCACGCTTCATCAGTCTCGGAATCTCGTCTTACAAGACCGAGTTCTTCATCCGTCGCGCTCGTCTCATCGTCAGGTTGGTGCACAAGCAAGAACTCGCAACCATGGGTACTGTAATCGCCGACCCAAATTCCCCTCCACGGCTTCAACACAGTCGGCGTGTATAACTTCGGATCGAGGGTGGAGTACGTGATGAGCTCCTCGCCAACGTGAACGTTGGGTATCCCGCCGTCGACTGTGGTGCGTGATAGTCTTAGCATATTGTATATCCCACCCAAGCCAGCTGCCATACCGATTCGGGATAAACCGCCCGCCATTTCCATCCATTGGCGGATACGGAAGAACCGCTCTGATACTTCTTCGCGGCGCCGAGGCCGGGATGACGGTGTTTTCACGAAAATGCCCTCTGCTGTTACCTGCGTGCTGCTACCCGAGACGTGGTGGTCTGAAGGGATATGAGGCGGTGGCCAGATATTGCCGTATGGGAAATTCGAGGTGAGGTTTTGCTGGGCTTCTTCTTGATCGAGCTCGCATGTTAACATAAAATTGCTAAACAGGGCATCGATTCTGTCATCAAGAGTCACAGGCATCTCATCAGCGAAGCGATTGGCACCAGGTCGACTCAGAAAATCCTCCGGCGCCCGTTCTCCCACGCGAAACTGCAGCACAGGCTTATCAAGATGAAGTTTGACTTTCGGATCAAATTCATTGATCAAAACGTCGCCTTGTCCGAGGAAACTTTGCTGTATTTGCCGGTCTCTACTCGCGAGCAATTGATAGCCCTCGATGCAACCCCGCCGAGGATCATAGCGAACGATCATGAGTCTTCCGGTGAGATCTCTATCGCAGAACCAGATTTTCTGTCTGGGGAGGAACCAAAGACGATAGTGAGCGGCGTAAAGCTCATGATAGCTGTCGCAGGGCCGGGGACTTGTGAGAGTGACGCCTGGGACATTTTCTTGAACGAGAGGGTACCAGAGGACATCTGAGAGAGCGTGCTTATGCAGATCTCGACATGTAGCGGATATGGCGGAGAGGTCGTAGGGTGAAAGATGAGAAAGAATGTTGTCAATGAGTTCAGGAGGGAGATTCAGCAGAAGAGGAGGCCCTGGGTATGGATCTGATGATGGCTCAGACAGTGGTGACTGGGGTTCACTGGAGGACATGTTGTGGCGGCTTCTGAGAAGTCAAGTTAAAGATGGCTGTTCCTATCTCATGAGTTCAATCAGATAAAATGCTGGATATACCTTGTTTTATCAGATCCGGGGCCAAAGCAGGGGTGGCGAGCTGATGAGTCGAGGGTGGATGGTCTAGAGGGTCTGGACTAGCAGCTTCAGCGGTGATGATGATGGGGGAAGTCGAGTTAATGCAGCTAAGCGGAGTTCAGCCGCAGGCGATGCCGACTCTAGAACGGAACAACTCGATTCTGATCAGGTCATGAGAGAGACAAATACGAGTTAACACTTTCGGTCACACAGGAGTTGGGAGAGTACGTTTTTGTGTAATGGCTTTTGTTGTATCGGGAAATTTCGTTGACGACATTGTCCTGCTGTAGATAGATTCATACGGGAAGTGGGGAGATGATCAATCACTCGCCGACGTACGGAGCATCCATTCACCAACTCAGACAGCAGCAAGCAAGCCACAATAGAATATAAGAAAGAATAGTAAATAAGAGAAATATCATTCCAATATCTAAAATCAGTCACACTTGTTTAAACCCCCCATGTCCATCAACATGCATTATCAATCTCCATTCCCGTTAAGGACTCTTGCGCCACTAGCTCCGGTGGCTGGGCCGCTTGAGGCCTAACGCCTGCGCTGTCGCTGTCCTCACTCTGCCCCCAGGTTCGAAACACCAAATTTACCCCCAAATCATCAGGTCACGCGCTTCTCTCTCATCGTTCAATAGTGCATCATTCTAAATCTCCTTCATTGGACCTCAGAGTCTCTTGCGTTACTGGCAGACTTGTTCTCCCAGCCAATTATCATCCTAGCGACGTCATCTCCCGTTGGGAATACCTTCGTCTTTCGCCGCCCACGTCACGTCGCTTTGCTCTCCTATACATCTTTATCTCTTTGTGATTTATCTTTTGATACTATCGCGCATATTTTTGAATATTGTGAACATATCCAAGCACGCCGATGATGAGCTCGCTGTTACCGCTTATCTCGGAAATCCTTCCGATGATAATGCCCGCCTCTGCCAACATCACCCGCGCCAAACAGTTGGAACCAACGCACCCTACTGTCGAGGGCCCTGTTATTGAACGTCCTGCTGTTGTCGGGAAATGCGACAATATGTGCGTAACTGGTAGGTCAAGTTGTCTTAGATCTATGTCTCAATCTTATCACTCACACGTCAGTTCTCACGACGCGACCTCATTCCAAGTCCACAGTCAGACACAACAGTGAACAAGGTAACCTCCTTTAAACCTGTCTACTGTGGATAAACGCTGATGTTGAGTTTGTAGACACTATCATATACGCCGTCTCAGGAAATGGCGTTCTTATCGTGAATGAGGCTGTCAACTCTGAATTGAAACACCATGATCTTGCACCTGGAGACTTTGCTTTTGTCCCCGCCTGGATCGAACATCAGGTCAAGAACGACACAGACCAAGATGTTCAATGGCTCATGATCCAAAGCGGTTCAACTCCCATCCGCGCAGACTTGACAGAGTGGGGTGGCGATGTGATACAGACAAAGAATTGAAGCATATGACGACGCAGTTTCATCATCATATCGATCTATTTCACCGGCTATTCCTGAGATACCATCCACTAACTTGCGCATCTCGATCTAACCATCTGAATCACCGACTCTCTACTCACACGGTCATCAAACACCTGCGCATGGTCCAGTTTCGGAAACATGACTACTTCAACGCCATTGTGCGATTCAGCTACCATGCCATTACGACCGGAACTAAGATCAACGCCCAGATATTCGGCAACTGCTGTAGTGTCGACTATGAGGTCGCGGCCAGACAGCGTAACAGCAACGTGCCTTGCATGATGGCCGTCACTTTGAGTCCCCAAGAGATCTTCTCTCCAAAGGATATTCTCACGCCAGAAGAAATGCCTGCCCAAACAGAGCGCAACTCCTGGGTCGGTACTAGCGAAATACCACAGTTGCCATTCATTTGCCCTCCTGGGCTTTCGTCGAGTGAAATTATACGCTACATCAGGAAGATGTAGCATGATGGTCACAGGGTCGATGAGGACAACCGAGGGCACACGATGTTGGAAGCTTGGTTCGTGGAGCATATGGGTTGTCAGAACGGAACCGTAGGAGTGTGACACTAGGGCAAATTTGTGCCAGCAGTGGTGTTCCAGAATGGATGTCATATGAGCCAGGAACTCGGCCTTGTCGAGGATAGCTGGGGTGAGGCGGAATGAGATGGGTAATATCTCAAGGGCGATGACACCAACACTTCCGTTTCCGTCACCAGTCTTGTGAAGACCTGCCAGAAAACGAACATACGTCCATAATCCTATTCCGATACCGTGGAAAAAGACAACAGGAAGCCTATCTTCAGCTGTATGAGGACGGTGCCAGTAACTCAGTCGCGTGGACGGAGATTTGGGTCCAGGAAACAGCTCTTGGGGCCGTGGGGGGAACACACGAAGTGCGGATGAGCGAGGCCGGCGATGGAAGTCGAATCCGTGCCAGCGAAAGGCAAGATGTGTAGCCTGGTCAAGGAAGAAGACGATAATATACCAAACAAGACTTCGATATGTTGTCGTGATACCATCAATCGTGAGACGAAGACTCTTGACGTGGCCCCGTCCTTCCTCGAATTTTCGACCGAGTCGTTGTTCAACAAGGCTCAGATAGTGCTCAACTTCCTCCTCGACCGCCTCCTCATCATCCACCAACCCTGAACCATCCCCCCTCTCGAAGAAAGCCCATAATATGAACTCTCTCACATTCTCCCTCCGAATCTCCTTGGGATCCGCATCAAGGAACCACCATCTCAGATAAATCTCCAAAGACGGCACATTTCCGAAACATCGCTCAAAAAGGGCATTTCGGTCTTGGGGCGATAGTGCTGGTGGATGGGCTGCATCCCGCTTGAGCCGCTGTAGGTATGGCCTATATATAAATAGATAGAACACCAATTCTGCCAACAACGCTGCTAGCAGAACACACACAAATGGAAAGACGACAGATACAGGTTGTATGAGAGGGAGGAATAAGATGAGAAAGATGTAAATTAGAGGCGTGTAGCGAAAGAAGGCGATGGATAAACGGATAAAGACCCATTCACCGAATGACGTGCCGATCATGGTGATATGACACTAGCCAGTCCTAACCGGGCGATATGTTTTGAAACAAGAAGTTGGGGGTTCTCATGGGAGTAGATTGGAGTTTAGAAAAGAGTAAAAGATCGGTGACGTGTCTGTTGAACACATTCTTCTGTTGGGGACGATTGTGGGAGGATGAGCATCGGCTGGAGCAGTACAAGGGTCGCAAACACGGAAGGATTGTGGCTTGAACTGTGGCTCGTGTAAGCGTCAACGAACTGAAGACTCACAAGTGGGACCGGGCCAGTGCCATGCAGCGGTCTACTCCACTGATGGTGGGGCGGACCGTCAGTGGAGGCTTCGGCGGCCCGTACCAAGACTTGACCCCACGATCTACAACGACTTCACATCAACATCAGAACAAAGGGCACTTCGTATACCAAACAGCAAACTCGTTCATCAAGTCAATTCTCCTTTCTAATTATATCCAGGCATTCTATATCAAGGCTGTTCTGTTGTGCACCCTATTAATAATTCCAAATAACGTGAGTATCACTTGTAACGTCGCACGTCAACGTCTCAAGATAACAGGCTGGAGAGACTGTGTTTTTCGGATCCATGCAAGGGCTTTGGATCTTTGTGCTACACCTGGAAACTCCACGGAGTGTATCGCAGCTATGAGATGGGTGATTACTGATACCGCCGAGTGTCAGGGAGAGTCGCATACAAGCAGTCGATTTCCTGTCCTACGAGCACATGTGGTATGGCAACACGACACGACACCACAGAGCTTAGCCGCAGAATTCGTATCTACTTCTGTCAAGCTCTCAATGCGGGTATGCTGTGTCCAGATAACAAGTCTCAAGAAGGAAATACAGGCGGCATTCCAAATATGCAGGCAGGCAAAAACAAGGGATATCATCCAATTGTATCCCTTAGAGTTGTCCCCCAACTTTCTGAGCCCGAGTGACTGTTACCCATGCTCTCACGACAGATATCCGGGTTACACGCTAAGCTTATGGAGTATCCACTTGCTTCGGATTTCACAGAGCGTGGGTACCGGTACCTCTTCATCTCACTCTCATGCCACCGGTTGTAAGTACCCAGCAAGTACCGAGACAGGGAGCTGTCAGGCACCCAATCGATCCAACCACACTTTCACAACCGGGCGATGCGAACCATAAAATCCGCAACCTCGCCCGCCAGCCGTTTCCACTTCTCAGAACTAGGCCACTTGGTATCACGCAAGTTCGGGGGTTCAGTTACGCTTTCTCCCGAAAATACAGGATCTCGAATCCTGCTGTATGCACACACAATCTGAGTTACATGAAATACCACACGCAACGTTGCGAGGCTTACGAAGCCAGGAGGGAATGGCACCTCTTCATTTCCTTATAGATAATTGCTGCCGTAGCATAGTCAGCCTTGCCGATGATGCGCAACCCACGTATGCAGGTAGCTTGCTCAAGTGATCCCATGTTGAAGCATCATAGATAAGTATCCTTCGCCAATATCATCGAGCATCTGCACACACCCCGAAACATGCGGATGATTGCAGAAGCAAATCGCCGTTGCACATGCAACCGCACCCATGCTAAGGGCATATACCATAAATGCATTGGTACTCGCAGCGACTGGCATTCACCCAAGTCTGTACGACCAGCGTTGTGATAGATACGGGGTTGGCAATCCGAAATGGTTTACCAGACTTACTTATTAGGTATACAAATGAAAGAAGGGGAAAGAGGAAACATAAACAACTTCAAGTATAGTAGAGCATCATAATCCCATCGGGTGACCTGAATGACTCTGTAAAGAGTCGAGTCACGCACAAAGCTTCTGGTAGTCAGTTGTCAATGGCCCAGCCTTATTATCTTCAGGTCTTTAACACGACACAATGGATGATCGTGCATCC